TATATTCACAGAATGTTTAAACTAATGGGATATAGAGAAGTAAAGATACTATTCATATTGCAGGCTATGTGAATGGCACTCCTGGGAGTTTGACAATATAATACAATCTATTGAGGTTAGATAGGTGGTCCCACAAATACAATGTCAAAAAAAATGTGTTCAGTATTTTTTTTTTTTACTATACCTCTGCTTTTCTTTCTCACTGTCAGTTGATTCCAAGTGTCAATATTTTCCTCCTGGATTGCCACAATAGCTCTCCAACCAGCATTCTCTCATTACTTTTTTCTAGTTCCTATCTTATTCATTCACCAAAATGTTGCCAGAACAATTTTTATAAAATTCTGAGCTTACCAAAAGTTTTCTAACATTCTAAGCTTACCACTAAGCTCTTTCTGTTAGACAATCTGAAGTCTTTAAAATGGCTTATAAAACTTTTATTGGTGGAGCCTCTGTATATCTTTTCTCGCATGTTCTCCACTGCAGCCATGCTAAGCTCTTTGCAAATGCGCATGCTAGGTACACTCTCTTATGGCTCTGTGCCTTAAAACATGCTTACTTTTCTCCCATGCATAATCAGAATAGCTCCTTGCCGTTCCACACTCACCTCTGGCATTAATCTCTCTTTATAGTTTTCCTTAAGAATCGTTACAGTCCTTCAGCACCCCTCCTCTGTTCTCTCATTTCACCCTCCTGACCATACGTGCATCATATCACTTACAGATTCAGACGGTAACAGCAAATTTATCCCTCCTGCTAGACTATGAGCTTTTAAAGGACTGGAACCTTGCTCTTCTCATTTACATATTTTTGCTTCCTACAACAGTGACTTGCATGTAGGAATCCTTTAGTAAATATTTGGAGAATAACTTAATTGGTGGCAACTAGTTTATCCTGCATAAGGATATCATGTTCTTCTTCAGTGCCATGAGGAAGTTATAAAACCATACTGACCTCAGAATAGACAATGATTCCTTAGCCTGAGACCAGATCATCTTCCCTATCTGCATTCCAGGCCCTTTATAGTGTCTAGCAAGAGACCACTTCTGAAAGAAATAAAATGGTAATCTTATATTTCCTTCAAATTTCAAGACTCAGTTCCTCTAGGAGGCCTGTTTTGACTGTTATTTCAACTAGTATTTTCTTATTTAAATTCTTTTATTATTACTATTGTACTTTAGATTCTGGGGTACATGTGCAGATCATGCAGGATTGTTGCATAGGTACATACATGGCAAGGTGGTTTGCTGCCTTCATCCCATCATCTATATCTGGTATTTTTCCCCTTGTTATCCCTCCCCACCCTCCCGACCCCCCGATGTCCCTCCCCTGGCCCCCCACAACTGACCACAGTGTATGATGCTCCCCTCCCTGTGTCCACATGTTCTAATTGTTCAATATCCACCTCTGAGTGATAACATTCAGTGTTGGTGTTTGGTTTTCTGTTCTTGTGTCAGTCTGCTAAGAATGATAGTTTCCAGATTCATCCATGTCCCTATGAAGGACACTAACTCATCCTTTTTTATGGCTGCATAGTATTTCATGGTGTATATTGCCACACTTTCTTTATCTAGTATATTATTGATGGAAATTTGGGTTGGTTCTAGGTCTTTGCTATTGTAAACAGTGCCACAATGAACATAGGCATGCATGTGTCTTTATAATAGAACAATTTATAATTCTTTGGGTATATACCCAGTAATGGGATTGTTGGGTCAAATGGTATTTCTATTTCTAGGTCCTTGAGGAATCACCAAGCTGTCTTCCACAATGTTTGCACTAATTTACACTCCCACCAATAGTGTAAAAGTGTTCCTATTTTATGACAAACCCACAGCCAATATCATACTGAATGGGCAAAAACTGGAAGCATTCTCTTTGAAATCTGGCACAAGACAAGGATGCCCTCTCTCATCACTCCTATTCAATATAGTATTTGAAGTTCTAGCCAGAGCAATCAGGCAAGAAAAAGAAATAAAGGATATTCAATTAGGAAAAGATGAAGTCAAATTGTCTCTATTTGCAGATGACATGATTGCAATTTAGAAGACGCCATTGTCTGAGCCCACAATCTCCTGAAACTGATAAGCAACTTCAGCAAAGTCTCAGGATACAAAATCAATGTGCAGAAGTCACAAGCATTTCTATACACCAATAACAGACAAATAGAGAGCCAAATCAAAAGTGAACTCCCATTCACAATTGCTACAAAGAGAATAAAATACCTAGGAATACAACTAACAAAGGATGTAAAGGACCTCTTCAAGAAGAACTACAAACCACTGCTCAATGAAATAAAAGAGGACACAAACAGATGGAAAAACATCCCAAGCTCATGGTTGGGAAGAATCAACATCGTGAAAATGGCCATACTGCCCAAAGTAATTTATAGAATCAACGCTATCCCCATCAAGCTACCAATGGAACTGGAAAAAAACACCTCAAATTTCATATGGAACCAAAAGAGAGCCTGCATAGCCAAACAATCCTAAGCAAAAAGAACAAAGCTAGAGGCATCGTGCTGTCTGACTTCAAACTATACTACAAGGCTACAGTAATCAAAACAGCATGGTACTGGTATCAAAATAGAGACATAGACCAATGGAACAGAACAGAGGCCTCAGAAGTAACATCACACATCTACAATCATCTGATGTTTGACAAATCTGATAAAAACAAGCAATGGGAAAAGAATTCCCTGTTTAATAAATGGTGTTGGGAAAACTGGCTAGCAATGTGCAGAAAGCAGAAACTGGACACCTTCCTGATGCCTTACACTAAAATAAACTCCAGCTGGATTAAAGATCTAAACGTAAGACCTAACACCATAAACATTATTATTTAAATTCTTAATGTTTTAACACAAAAATAAGTATTTCCTGTACTTGTACTAAGAAACTTTTCTATGTATATGTATCTTTTTTCTCAAAACTATGTATCAAGAGCCTTGTGAATAAAGTCTGTTATTTCTGTGAGTTGTCTCTGATACCTACTCCATTGCTTCAAGTATGCCAAGTATTTTTAATTGCATAAATTTAAGATGTAGAAGATGATGTTTTGATATTCCTATCCATAGTGAAACGATTACTCCAGGTAAGCAACTTAACATAGTCATCACTTCCACACAGTTACCTTTTTTTGTTTGTTTGTTTATGGTAAGAATGTCTCAAATTTACTTTTAGCAAATTTTCAATAGATGATACAATACTATTAATTCTAATCCTCTTGCTGTTTATTACATCTCTAGATGGATTTGTCCTACATAGGTGCTAGGTATTTAATATGTTCTTTTGAATAAAATAATAAAAATAATCTCTCTTGATTGATTTCCCAATGTGCTACCAAAACTTCTCTCACCAATTTAACTATTTTGTATCTTCATCTTATTCAATTTCTCAACATTGTCCATCAGAGCTGCCTACACTCTACTTGAAAGGGGGACTTTGCTTAGCTTTCATACATTACACCCTTCTGATTTTTCTTCTGTATCTTTGGCTGTTCCTCAGTTGGCTGTGGGATCTGTTCCTCCTTTACTAAACCATAAAACATTAAGTGCATCAAGGGTATCTTCTTCTCGCCTAGGCTCATTTATCAACTTAACCCTCTCGAACAGCTCTAACCATCTGTGCTTCTCAACTCCATTGTAATAAAGGTAGAAAAGTCACTTCATTCTGTTTAATATGTGCAAGAGTATTTTAATAAGCATCAATCCCAGAGTGATATTGAATAAGGGAATAAGGAAAAGAAGAGTAAGCCATCAAATAAATTTAGAAAAAAATTCAATAGACACAGCATAGAAAGGACATTTCATAATTATTTAAACTTCATAAGGACAGGGTTATGTGGAGGGCAGGGAAACAAGTTATTTTGTTCTGTAAAATGTAACACAGTGCACAGTGAATCAGATCATGTTAGCAAATATAAAATCATTTGTGATTATGTAATTTGGCTTTAAACCACTGAGGAGGATATTTGAATATTTACTTCAGCAAAAGTTGTAGCAGCCTCCCTCAGGCAGGAGTGTCTAAGTGTCTGCTAATGTCTAGTGAGTTGCTTAAAAGAGGATAAAACAACACACCCTCAGGCAAGCAAGAAGATTTAAATAGAGCCAATTTAAGAAGCATAGTGCCTTAGCAAACTCAGAAATTAATCCAGATTAAGACATTTTGCTGTAAGGATCTATGACAAGAAACAAGTTCTACAACTCTGACTTAGAGGTAAGGGCTGGGGAAGGCACTCAAAAGGTATATTCCATAAAAACCCTCATGTGTTCCAAAGTACACCTTCAAAAATCATAGAGCAAATTCACCAGCATGTGTTATCTCAAACTAGCAGAAGTTTAAGCTTAATTAAAAATAAGTCAATAGGGAACGGAAGGGGGTTGTAATTTATTCTAATGTTAATATAAAGAATCTAAACATCTAGATATGTCTGAAATATGATTTTGTCTTTTGTATACTTTATGATAAATCATTTCTTCAAATAATTATTTAAGCCACAGATTTCATCCAGGACACTGACACTTAACAGTTCTTTAGTGTTCACGGAGAAAATTACTGATCGAAGTCCCCAGGTCTCCAAAGCAAACTGAAGAATTTAATTAATACTTTATCTTTACGTATATCTATCCATCTAGGAGAAACTAGATAGTGATCCTTTTATGGTAAAAATTGCGTACTGAGACTGAAACTGTCACATCTGAGCTCAACAAATTCCCAGAGAAATTCATAAATAGATTATATACATGAGAAACATTAACTCAAGTGATTCTCAGTATCAAAAAATACCCACAGCTTTAAGACACAATCCATTTTGCTCACTATTATTTCTGAAATCACGTGTTATAAACATGCAATATGCTTGGTCATAAGTTTCTTGGTATCCTGTTATTGAAGTTGTTTATAATATTTTTCTTAACATAGTGTTTATCTCCTACATGCATAGGTATTTTTGTGATCTTCATGACCAACTCAAAAATTGTGGAAATTGTAATGTGATCATACCTTGCTTCCATTTTCTCTCGCCTCTCGTTCCATCTTGAGGTCAGAAATTAGAAGATTCTTATATTTGTTTTTTCCATTACTGTTGTGATCATCTATTCTGTATTCCGAAGTTAGCTGCGCAGAGAGGGGACTGTCACTGAGATTCAGTGGCTGTTCATCCTGCTCCAGCCCAGTTTTGCCATCACTGTTGGAGTCTCCCATCTCCCTGCTGTGTGCTCCCCCTGAAGCAATTGAACTGTGCCCCAGAGTCTCATTGCCATTAAAACTCTCTGCAGCAGAATCATCTGTTGAAAAGGAAAAGTTATATTTTGATTTCAATTAATATGCTATTCAGATTCCACTTCTATTAGCATTTAGTGAGCTCCCATTATGTGAATGGCATTTTACATATGTGATTTAACCTCGGCAATAAACTTCTAAAGCAGTTATTGTTATTTTTAATCTATGTGGCACATGATAAGGTTTTGATGTTTTGTCCTCTTTGAATCTCACATTAAAATGTGATCTCCAATGTCCATAGTGGGGTCTAGTGGCAAGTATTTGAGTCATGAGAGTGGATTTTTCATGAATGGCTTGGTGCCACCCCCATGGAAATGAGTGAGTTCTTGCTCTGTTAGTCCATAGGAGAGCCAGTTGTTTAAAAGACCCTGGCACCTCTTCTCTCTCTCTCTCTTGCACCCTCTCTCACCATGAGTCCCACTGGCCTGCCTTCATCTTCCACCATGATTTTATATTTCCTGAAGCCCTCACCAGGAGGAGATGCCAGCACTATGCTTCCTATACAGTCTGCACAGCTATAAGCCAAATAATCCCTTTTTCTTTATAAATTACCCATTCTTAGATATCCCTTTATAGCAATGCAAATGGGCTAACACAGCACATTTAGGCACAAAAAGTGAAATAAAATAATAAGAAAATAGAATTGAGAGAACAGTTCAATCTTAATTGCAATCTCAAAGAAAAAACAAAGATAATTAAATAATTATCAATTATTTTGCAGCATCTAAAACATTGAAAATGCTCAGAAACTTTGTTCCAGTCATTACACTTCTGAGAGTTTAATGCCTAAGACATTTAATCATTGTGTGTATCTCTGTGTAGGTAAACATTTATACCAGTGTTGTTGATAATAGCAAAAATTAGAAATGACCTAAATTACCACAAATAGACTATTTAAATAAATGTTGAAATTGTTAGAATATTATGCAATAAAATATGGGGATGTGGGTCATGGAGTACTAAATAGAAAAATGTAGCTACAAAAGAGTGGAGTTGGTATGATCCCAATTTTGTAAAACGAAAACATAGACAAAGTTTGCAGAAAATGACATTTTTATTTTTCTTAATTCATTTTATCTTATATGATAGAAATTTGCTATTGATTTTTTAAAATTATGATGAAAAAGGTATTAAATTGTTTCCTTTAGCTAAAAGCTGTTGGTGAAACAATATAAATATGGGTGAGCAAGAGAAATATTATTCAATACTTGTGATTTTTAATTTTCTGAATATTATCACATATGCTTTTTTGTGGGGTGCAATGACATAGTTAATGTTTTTTAATCAATTACATTCATGGGAATTATATTCAAATTCTGAAAGAGAACTATAACTCACATATTTGTTTATTTATTCACTAACATTTGTTAAGCGCTTACTCTGTGGCCAATATGGGGTTAAGTATTTGGCCTGTAGAGAAGGTGCCTTCATCAAATTCACAGATAATTGAGACAGAAAAACAAACATGCTATTAAAATGCAGAGCAAGAACGCTGTGATCTAATACAAGGGATAAAGACATCACAGAAGGCTTCCTAAAGAAGAGAATATGAGTCAAATTCCAAAAGGTGAGTGAGCCTGAAATCAGGTGGAGAAGTTGGAGAAGAGTGTTCTCTATAGAGGGATCAGCATGTGCAAAGTCACAGAGGTCAGCATATGCAGAGCAAGTGAGAAGTAAGAGTAGTCTGGTGTGCAAAAAAAGAGAATGAGAAAAGACAAATCTAGAAAAAAAAAAAAAACAGAATACCAAGAAAGCATTTTGTTTATCAAAGAACTTGGATTTTATATGGGAGCAAATAGCAATTTTAATTTATTGTGGGAAATGACATGGAAAAAGTTATATTTCAAATAGACTATTCTGACTTGGATGAGGAGAATGGTATGAAGCATCAAAGTGGAAGTTCGGGAGACCAATTAAGAGATTCAGAAGTCATCTCAGTTGTTACCCTTAAAAGCTCAAACTTCTGAAGCGGTGGCAGCATAGAAAAAGAGGAGACAACTAGAAAAATTGTGAGAATAGAATTGAAACAACTAGTAGTAATGGAATAGGCAAGAGTCCAGGATGAGGCCAGGTCTGTAGTAAAAAATTTTTAAAAAGAGCATTAGGTTAAGTTTAATTTTGAATGAAATATTTTGTTTTTGTTTGTTTGTTTGTTTTTGAGACCGAGTTTCACTCTTGTTGCCCAGGCTGGAGTGCCGTGGTGTGATCTTTGTTCACTGCAACTTCTGCCTCTTGGGTTCAAATGATTCTCCTCCCTCAGCCTCCCAAGTAGCTGGGATTACAGGTGCACATCACCACGCCTGGCTAATTTTTGTATAGAGACGTAGTTTCACCATGTCGGCCAGGCTGGTCTTGAACTCCTGACCTTGGGTGATATGATTCACCCACTTCGGCTTCCCAAAATCCTTGGATTATAGGCCTGACCCACTACACCCAGCCTGAAATAGTATTTTTAAACAATTTCCTAAGACTATCTTGTGGAAAATGTTGAAATATGTTCAAATGGCAAATTTCTATTAAATTACTCTTTTTATGTATCCATCAAAGAAAGAATTGATGTGGGGAGAAAAAATACACAGGAAAATTTAGGAAACTGGTCATAAATAATAATTTATGACCTGGTACTTTCCATAGCTATTAATCCAAGGATTCAAAAACAGTATTTTAACATGAAATGTCTAGGGCTTTTGAAATACAGAACTAATGGGATGATTTTTATATATATATGTAATTTAGATAAATGTGCATATTCATTTATGCCAATTTGAATTCTTATGCTAAATTATGAATATGATTTTTGATTACTTTAAATTATTATGTACCATGAAAGTCCAAAGAAAAGCACACTGAACGTATTCAACTCCAATTTTAATTCATGAAAAAAAGTGATTTAACATTTGTGTACTAGAATCCTTTAAAAAATATACTAATATTTAATGTATAAAGGCTTTGTTAATACTTATTAGGTTAAATAACCCTAAATATATGCTACATTTTAAAGTAAAATCTACATTGGCATAAGATAAATCCAGTATCTCTCATAGTTAAAAATTAAACATCCCATATCTGTTTCTTCAGTCTGAAATCATTACGTATATCTAATAAATAGTATATTATTGTTTCATTTTTTTCAGGTAAGATAAACATTATCATTTGTTAGGAAAGGCTTTAATAAGTTTCATGTATTTATTTCTGTAAAAAATATAAACAATAAGGTAGAAAATATTTTTAGATGGAGTAGTTCACTCCAGATGTTACCAAGGTAACTAAATTCAACAGCGTTACATATTTCATTCCTGAGTAAATCAGTATGTTTTAAGAAAAACAAATAAATGATTTACTCATTTGTGTCAAATATATATACTCACATATTTTATAATTTAAATGGTAAAATACAATAATGTCTCAGAGCACTGTCTGATAAATCCAAATTTGAAACAAAGTTTTTGATGTCTTTATTTTAAAAATACAATATAGAACAGTAAGCAGACATTAAACTGAATATAAATCAACAATTTTATACTGTTGAGTTTCATGTAATCACGTTAACAGTTTTTATTCTGTTTCCCTCTCTTCCTAAAAGATACTTTTTAAGAATTTAAAATCGGAGACCTCAGACTCCTGTAATAAATTCACATCAGGTCATCACTTTAAAGGGGTAATCTGACTCCTTACCCAACATAGTTTGCTGGATCCTGAGTGGCTGCTACATACAGGGTGCAGTATTTAGATCTGTATATATGGCCTTCAGGTTCACTGGGCCAGGCGATGGCTCTTCTCTCAAGGTTTCAGCCTGGATACCACAGCATTTGAACCAAAGACTCTGTATTTGAGTCTCAAAGAAAACAGCACCTGGAGCTTTGGAAAATAAGAGTGCCCAGGGTACCTAGCAACAGAGGAGAATGTGGAATGTGATGACAAGGAAGTGTGGAATCTGGTTACATCAGGAGGGCAGTTGGATGTTGGGATTTAATTTGTTTTGCTGCTACTTTTGATGGGATAGATTTAGTGTTGTGGAGAATTATTGTGCTATCTCTGCTAGCACAGCTGAGGCTCCTTCGTGTCTAAAAGTTCTGGTAACACAGTAAATGGCAGACTAGTCTTTTTCTTCTTTCTCTTTTGCTACTCCCCATTCATCTCCATGAATTAGTACAGACTCTAGAAATACTCTAAGTTATCCCGCCGCATTTTGCTGGAGTGGTTTCATCAGCAACACATTCAACAATTACCTCTCTCTGTATGAAGATAATTGACCTAAAACATTATGTATAATGTATATGTGTACATGTCTGTGTATTTAAGAGTGTGTGTGTGTGTGTGTGTGTGTGTGTGTGCGTGAGAGGTCTCCCCAAGTACCTGACCTACTTTCTTATTCAGTTATTTGCAGTAGCTCATTACCATGGCCTTTAGGCCAAGTGCCTTAGGCAAAATGAACAGAAACAATATGTGCATGTATATATATACACACACACACACACACACACACACACACATATATACATATATATATATACACACATATATATGTACACATATGTATCATCCTCGTTTTAACATTAGTACTTGGACGTTTAGTCCTAAAATTCAGGTCAGATGCTCACAGGGTCCAAAAAGCTTTTCACTGTTTTCCCCAAATGCACCACAATTTTCCACCGTTAGTCCTTTGATGCCCCATTAGAAAACTTGTCTTTCATATCTTACCATAAAACTAAATATTAAGTCTAAAATATAGATGTAAATAGCATTGCTGAAAAGTTTAGGACATTCATATCCAAAAAAATAGAAAAAAATTTAAAAATTGCTTTGAAATCTAATTGCAAAATAGTTTAAGTACAACTCTCCTTTACCTCTCATGGTCTCTGGTCTGTCTTCTCCCAGCAAGGGACAAAAAAAAAAAAACAAAAGAAGCTTACCCATCGCTAGGCCATACCTTACATCTTATACCATAACTCCCTCTACTCTATAACACAAAGCAGATAATGTAGTCTGAATCAATCCTTTGTAG